TTAGCCGCCATAGATCTGCTCCATCATCTACATCCTAATAAGGGAGAAAGATGTAGAAAATGTTATGAAGTTATTTGAATGGAAATCGGGTCAGTGTCAATAGTATACCACTGTAGAAACAATGACTCGGAAATAACATACTCAAAATTTCAAATACATAAAATTATCTCTTATAATGACTGGGGACTGAATCCCTTAAAACCAAGGGCATTAACTACCAAAGGATTTAAAATCAAATTATATCATTATTTTGAATATATCAAGGCATGGGACGAAGTCTTTGCTTACCAGAATACCAAAAATATACAATGCTGGTATGTGCAGTTTAAAAGAACTGAGCAAGCAGAATTTTCAAACTGGTTTAAAAGTTGGTTCTTGTTATGGGGATCATTAAGCCATATACTTCCCTTGGATTTTAAAATGGTCATACCAAATTTCTGACTATGATTTAGACCGGTGGGATTATATTCCAGAACTATAAAGACAAATGTCAATTAAATGGTGGGATAATTATAAGAATGATTATCTAGATCCCGATAAAATCTATATGAAGACAATTCTTTATTCCTCATCAAAATTAGATATAGTGTTTTTCGATTACATTGCTCTGATGCAATAGAAAAACCCCACTCTGTCAAAAGCTGAGCTCAGGAAAAAATTACTCTTTGCCTTGGAAGAAGAAGTAGAAGTTAAAATAACAACTTTATCAAATGATACAGAAACCGAAGATTTGGATCCTCCAAACGAAGATGATTATATGGGAATATTTTCCCAAATAAATTAGACAAAATATCAGGGACGGTATGACTCCATCACCATTCAGGACATGTGTCCCAAAGATGACAGTAAAAGAAGACTGTCAACACACCAATCACTATTTTCTACAATAAAAGAAGCATTATTGTGGACAAAAAACATTGCTGCTATAGTAAAAAGCCACAATAATCTTTCCTTTACCTTTGCTTTTACCCTGTACTTTTACATGAAAGAAAATGCATCTTACCTTGTTGGTGCGGACTTAAGAATGTTTGGAGTCCGCCCTCCCCTCTTCTATAGAAGGATCAGGCCTAGACACCTTGAGATTTCCCTTCTGAATATTATAGCTAGGGTTTTAATACTTTGTAAGTAAGTGCTTCGTGAGCGATTGTTGTAAGTCTGAGTGATTACTGTGAGTACTTCAAGTGAGTTATTGTTGTAAGTTTGAGTGATTACTGTGAGTACTTCAAGTTTGTTTTCTGCCACTCATCTCTGTTTCACCTCTGCTTCGAGCTTTCATGTAAGTGCCTATCTCTTTTCTGCTTCTGTAAATCTTGCACCTCTGTTTCTGTTATTATAAATCAATGTTATTATGTATGAATGCTACTCATTATTATATATATATATATATATATATATATATATATAA